CAAAAAGTGAAAATGGAAAATGCGATTCTCTGGTGGTTGTTTGTATGATGAGTGTTGTGGTTGAGGCTACTCTGATCATCCTCTATTCAATCTTATTATTTATTGCAAAAGGTTGCAGGCTAAAGAAACAACAGCGTCATAGGAGCTCACCTTTGACATACCCCACTTCACTATGAGAAATATGAGAAATATAAAATTAAAATAAATAACTGAAACAAATCAAAAACAATTAAACAAGCGTAGTAACTAGTTCCTATAGTCTAGTCTATCTAGTGGTAATTTTCTTTTTTCTTTTTTAGTTACATTTTTTTTTTGGGTCAAAGGGAAATTCATTAGATAAGGAAATTATGGTAGATAGCCCAATGACATAGGATCACAAACACAATCCCATAGCAAAAGCCCAACCCACACACAATAAACAAGATCCAACAAAATGAAAAAAAGTAACAAAAGCCCAACAAAACAAACAAACTAGGACCAGCAAAATAACAAACAAACATTTTAAAAAAAACCCTAGCCGCCACCACATGGAAGGAGAACCACCAATCTGCACCAGCACCGAAGGAACCCAGCAACTCCACCATCAAGATAGCACCAAGAACAAAGAAGAACATAGGAACTCGGAGAGATGTCTTGGGAGGATGTATACAGCCTCCAACGACCAATAAGCGACAAAAGCGCTTTAATGAGATTCCAAAATCACGCTCCAACAGATGCCAACATGGAGCCATGGATCGAAAGAGGATGACACAGTAGAGCGGAAGAGGTTGTGAGAATTCGAGCCGAGCAGGGAGCGATCCAAGATCTTAGTTTTGGGACAAGGAAAGGAAGAGGATATGGGGAAAAAAGAGGAAAACAACACTGGCTATGGAAAATGGTGGATAAGAACCACCAGATATGAGCATAAAGCCCAAGCAAAATCACCAACAGAGGGTGAGGAGACTCTCAAACAAAGAGGGTGCAAACCCAAATGCAAGAGGGAAGGCAGAGAGAAAAGTAAGGAAAGTCGACCCTCATAGTTTTGCCGACTTCTTTTTTGGTTACATTGGAGGAAAGAAACTTTACTGAAATTCGATCCTGGGTGCCATGGGGGAGGGAGAATCCACCACCACTGTCGTGGGAACCATTGGCTAGTGGTAATTTTCTTTTAATGTTGAAAGAAGGTGCAATATGTTGGAGTTTTACAGAGTAGCAGGTTTGCTTGCACAGAAAGCTTATGAGAGAATGTTTCAGAGAGAAACAAGAGAGACATTGAGAGAGAGAGAGAGAGAGAGAGAGAGAGAGAGAGAGGGAGAATATGTTAGGCAATAATTGTAATCATGCACACACACACTGTGTGATCTCATTCCACTATCAATCTATATATCTTTCAACCAATACAAAAATGACTCAACCAATACACAATTGTACCAACCTGTGAGCTGTACACTTAGCATGAATCTGGACCTGTAAGTTCAACAAAATGTGATAGCATATGAGCCATACACCTGTCTAACTAACAATTTAAACCTAGAAACAATTTATACTTCAACACTCCCTTCTAAATTGTTAACTGGTTTAACACCAAGCAATCCTCTTACATAGTTGAATCGATCTTTAGGCAGAGCTTTAGTGAAAATGTCAGCCACTTGTTCTTCAGACTTGCAGTACCTCAAGTCCACTACCTCATCTTGTAAAGCATCTCGGATGAAGTGATATCTACGGTTGATGTGCTTGGTTTTCTGATGGAAAACTGGATTTCTTGTCATTGCAATGGCAGAGGTATTATCCACCATTAATGGAGTTGCATCAATCTGCAATTCTCCAAAGTCCTCTAGCACAAACCTCAGCCATATAGCCTGTGTAGTAGTTTCACTTGCACTGACATACTCAGCTTCAACTATGGAGAGAGCTACACTGTGTTGCTTGACTGATGCCCAAGAAAATACTCCACTGCCAAAAGAGAAAGCATAGCCAGAAGTGCTTCTCATGTCATCTTGGCTTCCACTCCAATCACTGTCACAATATCCAATTAGGATAGCTTCTTTTCCCTTCTGATATTCAATACCAAAATCAATGGTGCCTTGGATGTACCTTAACACCCTCTTAGCTGTTCCATAGTGTTTCTTTGTTGGACAATGCATATGAACCTAGCTAATAGGCTAATTGCAAACATTATGTCAGGTCTTGTAGCTGTCAGATATAATAAGCTACCCATAATCTGCCTGTATTCATTCTCATCTGTAGGACCACTTCCATCATCCTTGCACAGTTTCTCACTTGTCACAAGAGGAGTGCTAACTGGTTTACATTGTTTCAAACCAAACTTGCTCAATAATGTCAGTGCATATTTCTTTTGATTTATGAAAATGCAAGTTTCAATTTGAATCACTGCCATACCAAGAAAATGACATAACAGACCTAAGTTAGTCATTTCATACCTTCTCATCATTTCAGACTTGAACTCTGCAATCAATTCTTCATTGCTTCCTGTGTACACAATGTCATCAACATAGATTGAGACAATTAGAGTTCCAGAGTCTTCCTTAGTCTTGCAGTACAATGTAGCCTCACTTGTGCTTCTGCAATATCCATAGCTAATGAGATAGGCATTAATTTCCTCATACCAGGCCCTTAGAGCCTGTTTTAAGCCATACAAGGCTTTCTTCAACTTGTACCCCTTATCCTCATAGTGTGTAATCACAAATCCATCAAGTTGATCTGCATAAAATTCCTCCTTAAGCACACCATTTAGAAATGCAGACTTGACATCTAACTGGTATAGTTTCCACCCCTTTTGAGCTGCCAAAGCTATGAAGGTTCTAATTGTATCTAGTCTGGCCATAAGAGCAAAAGTCTCATTGAAATCAATTCCAGGCTTTTGTGCATAGCCTTTGACCACCAGCCTAGCTTTATGCTTCTGTATTGAGCCATCAAGGTTCAATTTGGTTTTGTAAACCCATTTAACACCAATCACAGGTTTATCACTTGGTCTGTCAACTAGTTCCCAAGTCTCATTCTTCTCAATCATCTTCATTTCTATCTCCATTGCCTTTTTCCAAGCCTTACCTTTTGAAGCTTCTGCAAAGTTTTCTGGCTCAATGATGCTCAGATTGCATCGAGCATAGATCTCAGTGATGTCTCTGAGCTTCACAGGAGTAGAGCTTAGTGAGTCACCTGGTGAATCAGCATTAGCAGCATCTGTAGTCACCTCACTTGGGCTAGAGATGTTATCAATCATTGTTTCTGGTACAGATGGAGCTGTGACTTCATATTCCTCTTCAGAACTTTCAGAAGTGTCTTCAACCCTCATTAGAACTGAGGTAGAATCAACAGTTTGCTTGTCCCAATCCCATAATGAATTCTCATCAAAGATCACACTTCTGGATGCAGTGATCTTGTTGGTCTGCAAATTGTACACTCTGTACCCCTTTTCACATTTTCCATAGCCAACAAAGATGTATTTTACAACTGAATCTTCCAGCTTAGACCTCAATTGACTAGGCACATAACAGAAACAGATAGAGCCAAACACTCTCAAATGTTTAACTCCAGGTTTTCTTCCACTAAAGGCTTCAAAAGGAGTTATATTATCTAAAGCTTTTGTGGGGCATCTATTCTAAATATAGACAACTGTATTCACTGCCTCTCCCCAAAACTTGTATGGTAGCTTCTTCTCATTCATCATTGTCTTGCTCATCTCTACAATGGTCATGTTCTTTCTTTCAACAACTCCATTTTGCTGAGGTAAGTAGGCCATAGTTAGTTGGCGTTCCAAACCAATTTCTTCACAAAACTGCAGAAATTCAGTGGAAGTATATTCTCCACCTCTGTCACTTCTAAGTTTCTTGATTTTATAGCCACTTTGTAATTCCACCATAGCCTTAAATTTCTTGAAAATGTTAAACACTTCTGACTTAAACTGCATGAAATACACCCAGCACATCCTAGTGTAGTCAGTAATGAAAGTCAAGAAGTATTTGTTCCCACCTATTGTTGTAGTCTGCATTGGTCCACAAATATCTGAATGGACCAGTTCCAATGGTACACTAGCTCTCCAACTTTTCTCTTTACCAAAAGCCTTCCTGTGTGATTTTCCAATTGCACACTCTTGGCAAATTCTCTCTGCATTGCCAATTTCAGGCAATCCATAGACCAGCTCCTGTTGTTGTAACAACTTCAAGCTCTGCAGATTCAAATGAACAAACCTCCTATGCCAACACCAAGTGGATTCTTCAA